GAGAGTGATTTCCTGCTTAGGATAATGTTGCGTGACATGTGCCCGTGTATAACTTGTGTTAAAAGTGGATGTGAGAGTCAATAGCCTCTAATTAATTTTGATGGAGGAAAATATTTAGGAGAAAACGAAGTGTATGAGGAAACAGTATAGCACAAATGGGGTGCCACCTTAATAAATGGCAGGCACATCTGTTAAATGTAAGGGTAGGAAAGGTGTAGAGAATATTTGTAAGACCTGTGCAAAGACATTTTCATGTTTATGTACTCATCTTTCCTTTAAAATTGATCAGTGTGACTTTATATAAAAAAGAAAATGTCAACGACATTCAACTGACACTTAAAGGATAAAGATGTCACTGAAGAGCGTTTATTAAAAGAGTGTGGGGTTTTATTGTTCATTAGAGTTATATCATTTAGTGAAAGAACCAGTGAAGATCTTCAACATAAGTCTATGCATATTTATTTACTCAAAAGTAAGCCCCGTGAAGTTCGGTGAGAGTTATTCTTGGGTAAAAATTCACAAGGTTATTTTATTTATTTTCTCAGTTACTTCCACCAGAGAAACTGAAAACTGGCAGATGAAAATATTTTGTTTCTCCAGTTCTTTAGGGCTATTGTTGTGTTGTAGTTGGTTGCCACTTAAGTAATGTTTACATCTCCTACTTTTATCCACTGTATGTTGCTAAAGCTTTTATTGTTGCTGCTGTTTAATTGTAGTGCTGCTAGATATCTCTCAGGTTCTCTACTGATCTTAATTCTTGTATTGAACATTATGTATTTTATCAGTGCACAGTCTCAAGTGCCTTATGACGATATGTGTCAGTATAAAAATCACTTAAATAAAAATACATAAATGAATAATTCATTCCTAGTTTCAGAATATGTCTATGGTAATATATTTCACATACCATCATGCTTGTGCATCTTGATTTCTGCTCTTTCCATATCAATTATATTTATTTGAATTTACAGAATAATCTACTTTCTTACATAGAAGCATAAAATATTTCATTTTTATTTCTGCCTTCCTTATAAAATTTAAAACTCAAGGTAAGTTTTTAAATTAGCTTTTCTGAATGTTTTGAAGGCAGATACCTGGAAATAACACCTTCTCTTTACACAATATGAGATTTAATTAAAAAATAAAAGTAGCATTAACTCCAGCTTATAAATAAAACCTCCTCTGGGCTGAAATATGCAGAATAGTTGGATTCCAGGACCAATGCTGTATTTCAGGAGAATAATAGCCCTAAAGAACTGGGGAAATAGAAACATTCAATGTAAGATGAGAACACCCAAACATGCCTACAGGAGCAGCTTCACTGACATGTATGGGTTTTTAACATATCTAATTCTCTGTGTCGCCAAATCTTTGGTTACTTACATCCAGAGATTAAAGCCATGAAAAGACAAGACAGTTCTACAAACCTGAAAAATGTCCCAGGTTTGCAGAAATATTTACAATTGTAAAAAGAAACAAAAGACCCCACTGAAGTTTAAACCCTTACCCCAAATAATAGACGCAGCACCTGTAGCTTTAAGAAATGAAGGTCCTCAGTGGCTATTGCTAGACTACCTCTTCTCCTTCCAACCAGTAAAAGGCAGGGGAAGGAGTCAGGGATCTCTCCAAGGCTGTTTTGCCTTTAAGATTCGACTTGCCAAGACAAGGCCTGTCAGCAAGCACTGGTGTCTTGTTACCAGGGGTCATTACCTGCAGGAGCACACAGGAGCGGAGCTCCGGCAGTAAAGAGCCCAGGGGGTGGGCACATGCAAAAAGCCCCACCCCCTGCTCCCAGCAGCCCTCAGTCAGAGCAAGAAGCAGCCAGGTAAGTTGCAGAGCCCCCCCCCCTGGCCCCCCCCTCCAAAACAGTCCAGTGGCACCTTTAAGACCAGGTTTTATTCAGGTACAAGCTCTCCCTCCTTTGCGAGGACAGATCTGCACGTCCCCCTCCCAATAGCTAGCAATCCAAAACAGTCCAGTGGAGCCTGAGCGGTGGGTGTTGCCTTCTGACACACTTCTGGTGATATGCAAATAAGCTATGCTAATGAGCTCCTGCACCTCTTTTTCTACAAAATGACCCCTGCTTGTTACCATGTGATTTACATGGCTTACCCAGGTCTAGCTGTTTGCTGCTGCTCAACATCAGCCACTGCACAAAATCCAGCATGGAACAGTGGTTAGCATTTCAGAGGAAGATCTGGAAGACCTAAGTTGGAATCACCAAAATGCTGTGAAAGTTCACTGGGTGATCTTGGGCTAGTGACACATTCTCAGCCCAGAGTTGTTGTGAGGATAAAATATATGTAGCACAGGAGAATGATGTAACCTGTTTTGGGTCCCCATTGTGGAGAAAGGTGGAATATAAATGAAATAATACATATAGTTGAAGATAGAGGGCAGGTAACATATAGGTTGGTTGGTTAGTACATTGGAAGGAGAAGAGGAAGCAGGGGAAGGTGAGGATATGGGAATTGCCAAGAGGAAGGAAAAAAGAAATTGTGGGAAAGGGGCAAATGAGGTGACCTCCACAAATGCTTGCATGTTCCCTACTGTGCATCCGAGTCTGGCTCAGTGACTGGCAGCACATCCCTGGGCCATAGATTTCCCAGGTAAAGGCTGCCAGGAAGAGGGAAGGAGGGATAGCTGAAGACAGTGGAGCAGATTGGCTATTGGGTGAGAAGGAGAGAAGGAAACAAGAAAAGTGCAGGAGGCATGTGGGGGCTTTCAGGAAAGGGAAAGTAGTGGGGGAAGGGGAAAGGAAATCCCCCCCCCTCCACAAGTCCTTGCAGATGCTCTGCTTGTATAAGTCTGAATTTGCTAACGGCAGTCAGAGATCTATTTTTTCTGTTAACGGAATGGTATCATTTCCTTACTGTATTTTTGAAAGTCTTTTTCAGATTAACAGCAGCTAAAAAGCTAAGCAGGGTTGACTCTGGCATGTACTTGGATGGGAGACCTCCTTGGAATACGAGGCAGGAGGTGGGGGCAGGCTTTATTCAGCCACCTCTCTGACTATCCTCCAGGGCCCCAGTAGGGGTCAGTCACCAGAGGTCTCCATGACTTCCAGGTGCACACACACTCACATGCACACACACGCACATATGGCAAATACAAAAAAAGAGAGAGAGAGAAGAAAATTCAGTGATGGGCACCTTTTATAATTTCAGCTATGACTTTGGTTCTCCCCCCCCTCCCCGTGTTGTCCCACAGTGTATTTGACTCTTTTCCTTCTGTTCACAAGAGTTGTGTTTATTCATATCCATGTAACTCAGGGCTCCCTCATAATGGAAAGCTGACTGCTCTGAAAGACAGTGCAAGATCACTTTTATTGAGAGGGGAAACAGGCTTCATTAGCTTTTCATTTATGTTCTGCTGCAGTAGGTGAATTGCTATCCAGCCAGTGTTCTCCTTAGCAACCCGAATAGCCTAAGTATAAAACTAGTTTCTGCAAATGCAGGCAATGGCTTCAAGACATGTTGTCAGCCCTGATGTCATTTTTTTAAAAAATCCCATGTGTTTGTTTAAAGTAGGACAAAGTTGCAGGTACATTAATCACCTTCATCCCCTTCATTTTCCCCCCCACTGTTTGCATTTAATTTAGTGGTCTGAAGAGCCATGTGCTGCACATCTTACTCAGCGGGATGGATACCAGGCAGCAACGCAAGGACAACTGAAAGATCAGCTCTATCAAGAAATTATCCATTATTTTGACAAGGGCAAGGTAATAAGAAACCATGTTCCATTGAATTTCCATGCAAAGTCACCAGCTATAAACAGAAAGACAGAATTTATCAAATGACCTTCCTTAAGTCTCCAAATAGTGATTTGGGAAGTTTGATATGAATGGGTTGCAGGCTAGTGCTTCAGGATGACGATACTAACAGCAGCACTTTCATAACTGCAGGAAAAACCCAAAAGGTCATATGTAAGTGTACACTTTCCCAGTGTGTGTGTGTGTCGGGGGCGGGGGGGGAGACAGGTCATCTTATTCTGAAGGGTTTTATTGATAAGTAGTTTAAACCAATTTAAAAAATGTGGAGGGAGATCATATCACCAATAAGATGGCTACTGTAGGCCCTGTTATACTTGATAAAGCTGGTGCTTAGTTCTTTCTGGCAATGTGAGATTCTCATAGGAATACATATGTATACTTACTTGTCATGTAAAACTTGGTATGAGACAGGCTGAGAGGAAGAAACAGGTCTGAGAGGTGATTTTTTGTTGTTGTTAAAAATTAAAACTGGCTACATCACCTTAAACCACAGTTCCTGCACTATATTTGACAGTACCTCCTTCAGTTGTGGGCGGGGTGCTTCAATACTAGGCTATTTTAAATACTGACATACACTTCTACTACATGGCGGTAATGAGCTGTTTATGAACAGCAGGCAAAATACCTGTTTACAGTACTTCAACCTGTGCAGGCTCTACAGAATACAGAATTCACAGTTTGCAAAAAGACTATTTTGTAGAGCAATCTGCTCTTGATTTTAACACCAGTTGTGTATAGTATTCTAGTCAAACTGGAAAAAGAGAAATAAATGTCTGCTTGTTTAAGAACTGCTGAATATCTGCTTTGTCTCCAGTTGTTTGGAAAGATCAGCAAAATCTGTACTATTCTTAACTGTGTTGTCAGCATTCAAGGAACACATTTTAGCACTTTCCCTATTGTTTACAAAGGCACTTGGATTTTCTGAGTGAAATTTATGTTCTCAAATGTCCTTCCTCTGTTTTTTTTTTGGGGGGAAGGGTGGAAATAAGCCCTATATCTAGGAGAATTTGCAGTAGTGCTACCCAATCTTATTTAACAAAGTCCAAAAGAAAGGACGTCTATGTTCAGAGACAATCAGACATTAACAGGCTTGCCATTCCCCTGCCCACAGTGGGTAAACCCCTGCCTTCAGCGCTGATCCCCTGCCCTTCAGAAAATGAGGAGCAGGAGGCAAATGGTTAGAAAATGGTCTCCATAGTGACACTCTAGAAATTTCACCATAGAGATCAGGGGAAATTCCTAGGGAGTCTCTTTGAAGTGACATCACATCCTCCAAATGTCAACCCCCTTGGCACCACCCTCAAAATCTCCCAGCATTTGCTGAGGTAGTGTTTGTAACCCTAGGTGTTAGGCTTGCTAACACAACAATGAGGTAGCCACTTCTGCAGAAGGGACATGTTTGTTTTCTAAATAAATTAAATCAATAAATCACCTAGATAATACAGATCATGGGATGGCCACTGCTTGGTGTTTTATGTTACTGTTTTCTATATGAAAATAATGACCAGACATTAAAATTTAGAATATGTGAGACAGGAGGAGGAACTATCCTTTTGTTTCCCTGTGCAGAACTCTACCTTCCTTCCCTGGGCCTGCACTACTGGGACCTACATCAGCTTCAAGCCTATATCCAGAGCCAAGTCAGCTCCCAGCACTAATAGGCATAGCTGACATCTGTCCACATTTTGTTAAGGCTGTTTGATCACTTTCCTGTAGCACATTGGAAGCCTGCATACAAGGAGGGCAGCAGGAGCTTTAGAAAAGACTTTATGAGAAGGGGGTTGTGTTTGGTCACTGCCCCAACTCTAGGGTGTAGAACTGTATTCTCCATTGTAATGGACTCAGCTCTCCTTTATCCACTGTATTTTCTGAATACTGCAGTCCAGCAAAGAAATCAGATGATGCTGGGAGGAGGGGAAGAAGAAGGTAGATACTGCTAGGGAAGTAGAACAATAATTTAATTAAAGGGGTGTTGAAAACTGAGATTTGGCTCGTTCATAATGTGATTTGAAGGTTATAAAATACTTGGCTTCTACATATGTTCATGAACTGACTTGCAGTATTAGACTTTTGGGGGGGGGTTAATGCAGTGAATGAGCAATAATGTACTGAATGATGCTTCAAGGTGAAAAGCTTAAAAGAGTCTCAGTCTTTGTATTTACATTTGCTGAATGGTTGTGACTGATTTACTCCCACCACCACTTTTATCATGCTGACATTTTTTTTCTTCCCAAGCAAAAAACCCCATCAGTTGATCATCATTGTGCCTTCGTGCAATTTATTTTGTTTTTTTCTCCATCCTCTCATATATATTATTGTAATATTTCCCCTCTTTTTCATGACTTTAACAGGTCTTATAAGTTTTTATCTTACTTTTTAATAGATTAAGACATTGATGTTCAGACATCAACCAATGTGTGTGATGTGTAAGAACCAGATACAATAGGAGCAGCAAGAATGCAGTCTTCATTGATCAGCAAAAAATTATAGTAATTTTCAAAGTAGTTTTATGGTTCTTGCATCTGTTTCTGGCAAGCAATGCAGCCCCAGCTTGCTTTCCTTTTGCTTAAATACACCATTCTGTACAATGCTACAAGGATTCTACTTGAATATTTATTTAGAAGATTTCAATGCCACCTCTTTAGAGTCCTGCTCAAGGTGGCTCATAATCAGGGGTCGTTTCGTAGAAAAAGAGCTAGGGGAACTCCTTAGCATAACTCCTTAGCATATGCCACACCCCCTGACATCACCGGAAGTGTGTCATAAGGCCACACCCCCTGACATCACCGGAAGTGTGTCATAAGGCCACACACCCCGCCCCCAACGGTCCCAGCCGTCGCCGGCGACCTTGCAGCTCCACTGCTGAGCCCCATGAGGGGCCCGGCGGTGGACCTGCAAAGCCGGCGGGAGTGCAAGGAAGCCTCGCGAAGGCCCTCCCTGGCCCCAGGCAGGCAGGGGTGGGGAGAGGCAGGGAGGAAGCAACTTACCCTCCCTCTTCTCCTGCCTCCTCCTGGCTGAATGAGGGTCGGAAGTGGGGTGGCCGGAAGCAGGGGGCGGGGCTTCATCATGTGCCCTGCCCCCCGTACCTCACCCGGGGTAACTGCGATCCCCCGCGATCCCCCCCCGAAATGACCTCTGCTCATAATTAAAATAATAAATTATCAGAACAGAAGCAATAAACCATTCAAACAAGCCCAGGGGCATAGAAACAGAACAAAACTGTCCGAAAAAACAGACCTCAAACCAGAACCAACCATAAAATAGCTGGAAAGGTAAACCCCTAATGAAAAGCATAAGTAAAAGATATGTTTTAACCTCGTGCCTAAAGCAGTCACAAGGTGGAGGTTATTCCAAAGATGAGGAGCCACTATTATTGTTGTTGTTATTATTATTATTATTATTATTTAAAATGCTTCTGTGCCACATTTACACCTGAATAGGAACCCCAAGGTGGTGAACATCAAGATATTAAACCATCAAGATGTTAAAACAGCATTTAAAATATAACCGTATGTAAAATATTTAAACATTTCAATATGGGCTAATAACAGTTATGACAAAAAAAAGGTAGAACAAAGTTTGAGTCCAGTGGTACCTTAAGACCAGCAAAGTTTTATTCAAGGGATAAGCTTTTGTGCAAATACCCTTGCAGCAGGGCTGAGACCATGCATGCACACAAAAGCTTGTACCTTGAATAAAACTTTGTTGGTCTTAAAGGTGCCACTGGGCTCAAACTTTGTTCTGCTGCTTCAGACCAACATGGCTACCCACCTGAAAGCAAAAAAGTATTTGTCTGCTGGAAGGAAACAATTAATTAACTTAAAGGATGGCATCTGGGCAAGTGTGAAAGCTTGGTGTCAAGGAACCTCCTTGAAGTGCAGATGAGCTGGCTATTCCTCTGGTCGTAAAAGGTCCATCTGGCAGGAAATGCCAATTCAGATATAAAGCAGAGATGTGTTATACGCAGAGGTCATTTCGGGGGGGGGTCGCGGGGGGATCGGAGTTTTCCCAGGTGAGGTACGGGGGCGGGGCACATGACGAAGACCCACTCCCTGCTTCCGGCCGCCCCGCTTCCAGCCCTCATTCAGCCAGGAGGAGGCAGGAGAAGAGGGAGGGTAAGTTGCTTCCTCCCTGCCTCTCCCCACCCCTGCCTGCCTGGGGCCAGGGAGGGCCTTCACGGGGCTTCCTTGCACTCCCGCCGGCCTTGCAGGTCCACCGCCGGCCCCTCATGGGGCTCGGCAGTGGAGCTGCAAGGCCGGCGGCGGCCGGGACCGTTGGGGGCGGGGTGTGTGGCCTTATGACACACTTCCGGTGATGTCAGGGGGTGTGGCATATGCTAATGAGTTATGCTAATGAGTTTCCCTAGCTCTTTTTCTACGAAACGACCCCTGGTTATA